CTCGTCTCCGCATGTTTCGCAGGAGATCTTGTAGACCACCCCTCGCATTGCGCAGTCTCCCTCCCTGCCGTTCGGGCAGACTACGCAATCTACTGTTTCACATGCGCGATCGTAGAGACGATTGCGAACAAGACGGTATTTGAGATTGGTGGGAGGGATCTCCACAAGACCAACGGAGTTTAGTTACTAGTTCGTCTGCTTCAGCTATTATTGGGTGGAGCTGTGGCTCGTTCTCTATGTCCTCAATTTCTGCAATCAAGTCCTTTCTTCAAACTTATTATTGTAGTTTTTATATTCACTTCTAAATTCATTACATAAATTTTGTAAGATCCTTCTTCCTTCTTTCACCTGATTGAATGCTGCTTTCCAAAAGAGCAGTTGTCGTCCTACATTTTTCGTAGGTTTCCTCATTTACTTCAAAATATTCTACACTTTTTGTGTAGTCGCTGTAGCGAAGAACTAGATTTTTGAGCGTCTTAGCGCTAAAGACAATGGGCTTCTTATGGAAATAGAGCGCCATTGGATTTAGGTGTGTTTCTTGTTATATAAATTCAATATCAGTTCGCTTGAAATCACGTTGGATTCGTTACTATTGCTACGGCCTACTAAAAACCTAGTTTTGACCGATGCACCATACGAAATGAGGTGGTTCAGTGGGTTTTATGTCCATGCCCTAAGGATAAGGCAGCGGTAACGACAGTAATAAATGTTACAATGTATTTATCACATATACAGGGGAACCTACGTCTCGATTATGACGGATAGGACGAACTGAACTGCGTGCGGGCCATTCATATCATGAGTCCGCCCCACGCTAGTACTCAAGGGCACACGCTGAGAGAGGTTCTAGCCTCAGAAGTGGAGAGAAAGGAGTTAGAATTCTTTATGGCAAACAGAAACAAACATGTACGATGTATATTACGTCTGTTAAGCCAAGAATAGAAAGCCGATCATCGAATATTCAGAAACCAGTAAGTTACAATAGACAGTGAGTTACTCTAAAGATCCATGAGTATAAGTATAACACGAAAAGCGCACTTTCTTCTGTACAATAATCAACCTTCTGCAATCGTACGACAGAAAACTAATGTGAAAAGAATAGAAGAAATCTAAAAAAAGTAATAGCCGCAACCGAGTTATGGGTTGCCTGGCACTCTACGGCGATTCATCGAGCTGTGGGTCATTGGTGACCTGCCAATCCCCAATTCACGCAAAGGACCAGTATTTTCGAGTCTCAAAAGGAAGAGATTGAGTACGATGACGTCCCTGCCTCGCACAAACAACTATTCCCTCACTAGTTACTCATTCGAAAAGAGATGTATACAGTCTGACGCGTCCTTAGACGCTGATCACATATTGCCTTCAGCACCGCTGAAAGATTCTCTGAACAAAGTTATGGAGATGTTGGGGGCTAGCTCACGTTCTCGTTGCATAAGAGGCACAAGATAACTCCAGGTTCGCTGAAATCCGAAATTATAAGTAACTGGGTGCACTGGAAAGTGATTCTGCGGACATTCTCCATGAAAATATCGGCTGGCCAGTGTAAGTGACTGGTCCTTAAAGACAATTCCCGCAATCAAGTGTAACAGGTAGCAGGTGATCAGCTATGGACCAGTGGCCCATCGGAAACTCACCAGTAGAGATAAGCGAAAAAGCTTGGGAACACCCTGAGCACAGACTCCCCTAGCGGTGGGGCAGGCGCCTTGGACGAGTTCATCATGAGGACAAGCCCAATCAGCAGGATTCTAGGTGCAACCGATTCAGCAAGAGCATAGGAAATAACGCTACGACGCTCCAGGCTACGCTATATACACGCGCAAATCGCTTGTAAGCCTGTCTTGCACAGCTACAGTACGCGGTTGCACCGGTTGCAAAACTCACGCGTCTCTAGCTTCGTTATCTCTCCGTTTCGAGTGACGGAAAGTGGTATATTCTCTGCGAGTGCGGAGAACGATGCCAAATGCACTTGATCACGGGAAGTGTCTTCAACAGAGGCAAAAGGGGACAGGACCCGTCAGAATTAACCGCAACCATTCCCGTGCCAATAGAATGTGATACTTCCGTTCTAGAATTAAAGTATTTCATATAAATTGATAGTTTTTAAGAGCGAGTTTCCAGCAAAACATGAGATTTCGACCTCACTCTGAAAATATGGGCTAGTCGCCAGTGCTTGTGGTCAGCGGAATATTTTCGTCAAATCCCTACCTTCAGTGATAACTAACGGTTATTAAAACGAATATGCTACCCATTTCCGACGTGGGGAGCAACGGATTCCGGCAAGACTAGATTTGCTAGGCATGCTATGTTACCAAAATGGATAACTCTAGAGCTTGTCTTGATCTGCAAGGGTTACGGTATACTGAATCCATAACTCAAACTCTTATCTCCTTACATGCTTGCTTCCATTGAAAACGACTTTATTTCCGGAGAAATAAACATAACAATCCAAATTGTTATTGGGAATATGTACAAGTAACCTGATTCACTGTGTGATCACAGCAGAATGCATAATTCTGAGTCGAAACCGATGGTCAAGGCGTAAGGATTTCTAGAATCTGTAGACCATCCCATGTTTATTCCTGAACATTTCGCCAGCACTGAAACTTTTCGGAAGTTTCAGAGGAACCATTCGCTTGTAGAAGATTATCCACAAGAGCGCACACCCTCCAGCGAAAACAATCTCCATTCCCCATGGTGGTCGTGGACCATATTCCGTGAAAAGATTCCTGTAAAGGTGATCATTTTATAAGGTTAGTTATAAGCAGATATCACTCCATATGAAGTATTAGTATGGAGGAATTTCGCACTCGTTTGTTTACATTAATAGGTTTATGCCGAGAGCAATGAGTTCTAGGATAACTCGTGAGCACTCCGTCTACTCACTGGACTGCTCGCCCTCTTTACCATATCACAGAGAGGATGGTATCAGTGACGAAGGGAGCAGGAAAGGGCCGCCTAGCTCCTATCGCAGATTATCCTTTTGAGGATATGGCAGTTGAGGATACTCTGCCTCTGGCGGAGAACAGCTTCTCTTTCTCTATGCATTCGTTGTTTTCATTTGGAAGCCAAGGAGTAATTGTATCTGTTATAAAATAAGAATCAAAAAAAAACTCACGATACGAATATTGGACCGCACATTCTTGCGACGCTACCGCTTAGCAGAAGAACACCTTGCAACGTGCCCTGAAGAACAAACCGTCATCTATACAGTCGTTACCACTGCAGTCAATCGGAAAGTGTCAGAGGAAATCGCATTCGGGCGCAGCGCCATCTCCTTTGGGTATCACGCACTGAGCGTCCTTAGCCACAACACAACGCAGGCCGGCGCCTCACCAAACCCGCTTGCCATTGACACGCCCCGACTGACTTCAGTGACAATGAGGTAAATGCCTTTTCAGAACAAAAATCAAGAGCAAACATCTTTCAAGACTCCTGACGCCCTACTTTCCTTTTGCGCTCAATTTTCCTTTCATATTGCCTTTTCGAATATCTCCAGAACCTGTGCACCGTTTTGCTTACTACAGTTCAATTTACCTGACTTCTTGGACCAATCAAGGTAGAAAACACCGTGTTCATGCTGACGTTGATCATCGAAAATGAAACTCCAACTATCAAAATATGGCTGGCAACGAACAGCACTGGATTCATTGGTGGCGTAGTTGCGCACCTGAATGATGCACGCGTAGGATGACTATTGATTGCCTCTTGTATTCCATTTGAGAATGAGAAACTTCGAGTACATTTGCACAATAAACTACGCGTACTTCTATATTTCAATGAGGGGTTCTGTGAATCGCGCAAGTGTAAGGTTCGGAGCTTTGCATGTCTTCAGAGACATATTACGCGATTACCTGTCAGGTAGAATATTTGTACAAATACCCCGCTCCACTCTCAGCAGTAAGCGTTTACGGGCGCCATCGCCGAAGATATCTCCTAGAAAATGCTCCACCCATCATTGGACGTGATATGCAGGCAGTCCTCTATCTATGAACACAGTTGTGACACTGATTTCAGTCTGTGCTGGACCGTCCTTTGTCGTCTCGCTTATCTTCCAGTCAAGTACGTACAGCATCCTTTTATGTGGAACGGGGGTATGTGACAAGAGGATCGTAATTCGCCGCGCTGCTGGGCGTCGCGTGCGACGTCTCGTCTGCAAAGGACGATGGTTCCAGGTAGTAGATGGCGACAACATGCAATTAAGGACCGAAAACAGTAATGACTGTCTACGATGACGGGGTCTACATGAAGTCCGGTGCTCCATTCGACAGGTTAAAACGAGTTATGAAAACGCCGCGCCCATCGCCGCGCGTGGCGGTGCGGCAAATTACGATCCTCTTTACCGTCTCCCGTGGAACGGTGGTGTCAGCAGGACTGCGCCAAAATGTCCTCATCTGGTGCGAACCCCCCCCCCCCGCCTCCATCATACTTTACTGAATACCATGTTCTGAACTTCCATGGGGATTCCTAGTCTTCAACAGCTTTTCCGGTGCCCCCCTCACCCAAATGAAAAGCCGTGGAGAGGGGAGGGAGAGGTCCTCACTAATCAGCTACTTATATCATCTGTCAGAAAGAGTAGATGTATATCAAATCTGTACCGCCGACAATTAGGTAGAGCATATAGCGAAGAGGGGTGAAAAAAGCTCATCGGTGGCGCGCACACGGCGCGTGCCGAACGATGTCGTTGCGTCGCGGTCGCAGTACAATGTGGAAATTCATATCTAGGAGCGAGTTTTTTGCGCTTATAAAGTGTGATTCTTACAAACTGTGCTTACCCGCACGCGTCACACCTAACCACTTGTTTTCTTGTTCTCAAAACAAACAGTGTTCATATCTTTATATGAAAGAAAGGTTTTTTGATCAAGTAGGTATCATAGAAAAAAAATGAATGGTAATTGACTAATGTTCAATTCTGCGAACACGTACCACGTGAATGACGGCCTGCATCCTACCGGATCTGGATTTGGCACCAGGGAGCCATTTATTGTGATAACTGAAATGAGAATTATCTGCAGTATTCAGTAAGGCAGTTGAAAATTGAGCTCTTTTTTAGAGTCCTACGACAAGTTCATACTGACGAGCTCTCCGCTGGACCCCTAACCCCTCCCTTTTCCTGTCATCAAAGCCTATTGCCTAACTGAGATGCGTTGGCGATGCACTACAAACACTTCAACACTTGCCTACATTTGAACAATGGCTGTTGTGTTTTATGTTGCCCGCACTCAATTCACAAAGTTCGAATAGCAACAAAAACACTGGAGATGCATGTGAGACCATGCCTGACAAGAAAACGGGCAACCTGGTAACCTTTGTAGTATGACGTAAGAATATGAAATGTGAATAGACAACTACGTTTCTCCCAGAAAGAGGTGGGGCAATGGCCTTTTAGCCTGAGTCCAGTCTATGACAGTCATGCACGAAGCACCACACCCTGCTCCATATTACTCTACGCACCACCGTAAGCCCGCCCCCACACCATGCCCACTCCTTCTAAGGCGATCATCATCTGAGACTGTTTTGCACTTTTGCTATTCCACACACAGCTGGGCCCTCATTCTAGTTGAGCAGGCTGGATTCTCTTCCTTTACTCCGTACAGAACAAGCAGAATTGTGGCGCTAAATTAGCGCCTATGTGCGTAACTGACACTGGCAATCGTATTAGGTTGTTCGAAAAGTCCTGCGACACTTTGACCAAATTTTTCGAACTAAATTTCTGGTCAGTAAAGGACATCTCCAATCTACAAGGTAACCGCAGTTGATGACTAGGACTAGTGCCTTTCTTTTGCACAGCTTCTCATTTCCATTCTCATAGAACTACGGCAACTGTGGTAAAAAGAAGAGGTGGACCTCATTCTCGAGTTGAGGTTGATTTTCGGATAGTGACCAAAGGAGGTGGTAATTAGAGGCTGCTAACTTTGTTAAATAACCTGAGTACGGTCGCATTCTCTGATCGAAATGCATGATCTTTTGGCGTAGCCTGATCCCCACAGCGGTCCTCGCATTACCGAGTAGTAGAGAAAAATTGAGTATTTCTGAATGAATTCAAGCGTGACGTCATCCATATTTTGAAGTCGATTAAGGTGGACTGTGGTCCTTACAACGGTGCTGGTAAAGGGCCGTCATTTTGTGCTGATGGGCGACCTATGCATTGCCCAACTGGCGGGAGTTTAGAATTGGCGAGGTATGGAGGGTGAGAGACGGAGAGAGTTAGAGATAGCGAGCGAAATAGATGTCATTGCCTCAAATACGAGTTAAAATAAGTCCAAGGCTTAGCAGCGCGATCAAAGCTACCCTCTGCAAGCGATATCCTTCCTCAAGACAACGTAGGTGTCAGCTTCCTTGACTACGGCGAAGTGGCCCTACAGGAACTCATAATATGGGACAGGTCGAAAAGTACCTCGATCTCTGGGGGACTTTTAAGCTTTGAAAACTTCCTCAAAGTCATGATATACCCATGTGCCAAAACCCCAGAGGACAGACTCCGCTAATCAGGGATAAAAACATCCAAAA